GTGCTTTAGAGAACAAGTCTGGAAATATTCGGCTTGCACAAGTAAAAGTACAAGGCCAGATAGTCAAAATGAAGGTAGACACAGGCGCGGAAACAAATGTTCTGCCGGCAAAAATCTGGAACCTGTTGAAGAGAAAGCCCAAATCAAATCCATCAAAGGTTGAACTCAAGGCTTTTGGAGGTCAGTCTGTTCAGCAAATTGGGTCAGCTAACATTAACTTTGAAGTAGGAAAGCAAACAGTTCACCACCCCGTGTTCATCACGCATGAAAGCACATGTCCAGTGTTAGGACTGAAGACATCATTAGCCTTGGAGCTAGTTTCACCAGGAAGAAATGAAGAACATATACAGGTAAATTTGTTGAAGTAAAAGTTGACCACACAAGAAACACAGAGAACAGAATATGAGGATGTCTTTGAAGGACTAGGATGTTTTCCAGGAGAATATCACATTGAGCTGAAGGAAGACAACGAACCAGTTATTCAACCTCCTAGATGAGTTCCGTCAACACTCTGAAACCCTTGAAAGAGAAAGTGCAAGACATGGAACAAAAACAAATCATCACACCGGTTGAAGAACCAACCGATTGGTCCACAACATAGTCATTGCACAGAAAGCAGACAAATCACTGAGACTTTGTTTGGATCTGAAGGAACTGAACAAGAACATAAAGCGAGAACAGTTCAAAATACCAATGTTGGAAAATATCTGAGCGCAGCTAATAGAAGGCACACAAGTGTACAGCATATAGGACCAAAAAGATTCATATTGGCAGGTGAAATTAGATGCACCGAGTTCATACCTGACAACCTTTTAAGAACCTAGTGCCGTTTATGGGAGATGAAAGTAAATTGCGAAAAAACTGCCTACTCCGTCTTTACGAGAAGCTATAACCTTGCAAATGCAGAAATCCCCTCAAAATAGATGGTACCAACTTGATAAAGGAGAATAACCCAGTGTTTCTTGAAGTACAACTTGACAGCAAGCTCAACCTGAAACAACACACCAACAACCTTAGGAAGAAGGCTATGAAGAGACTTAATCTCATCAAACGACTAGCCAGTACCAACTGGGGATCAGACAAGAACACCTTGAGAGGCCTCTATTTAGGATATACTGGAGCTGTTTTTTTTATTATAATCTTGTTCAACAAAATATTTGCAGTAAAACTACAAAGAACTCAATGGACACCATCCAAAACCAAGCTCTTCGTCTCATCTCTGGCAGAATGAGATCCTCACTGATTGCAGCCTGTGAAATCCACACAAATATTGAGCCATTAGAAACTCGAAGAAAACGGGCAGCTTTAGAAGTTTATGAAAGATCTAAAAGGCTAAAAAATAACCACCCAAATAGAGTTCTTGTTGACAAGAGGAAACCTAATCAAAGACTAAAAAATACAAAATCTGTACTTGACATTGTCATCAATCTCCAAGAAAAACATCACCTCCCAGAACGATGAGAACCTATGGAAAGAGTCCCCTCAACTCTCCCACCACATCTCACCATAGCAAAGCCAGAAATTAGGAAAACACTTTTGGACAAGAGCAATAAAAACACATATCCTGTGGCACTAAAATATTCTGCCCTTGAAACAATTGATTCCTATCCACCAACATGGATCCACTCATACACTGATGGATCTGCCTTTAAGGCAACAATCAACGTTGGATATGGGTTAGTGATCAACTTGCCCAGTGGGATAAAAAAAGAAGTCTTTCATTCCAGCCGGTCCTTCTGCTCCAATTTCATTGCCGAACAACAGGCATATCACCAACACAGCAAACTACATCAACTACTGGTTTGACATTAACCCACTACCTACCACAGACATCGTTATCTTTACAGACAGCCTTACAACACTAGAGACACTTGAGAGTGGGACTGACGTGAACAAAGATATATTGCACTTGATTTGAAGTCTACATAATTTGATAAGTAGGCACCAAGTCAGAGTAGTCCTATAATGGATTGCTGCCCACACTGGGATACCGGGAAATGAAAAAGATGATGCTCTAGCAAAGAAATGAGCTAGCCTCCCTCAGCATGAGATTCCTACTGACTACACCACATGCTGCCAAGTCAAACCTAAAGGAAGACAGGATGAATGATTGGGCCACAGGTACAACAGGAAGGATGATGTATGGCCACATGAATAAACCACTGGTCAAAGATCATATCAATAAGTTGAAGAGGGGAGATCAATCCATAATCTTCCAACTTAGAACACAACATGTACCCCTCAACCAACATCTCAACCGAATTGGAGTAAAGCAGTCTGCTGCCTGCCCACCATGGGACTACCCCTCAGAGACAGTGGAACATCATCTGTTCTTCTGTAGAAAACTAACTGATTAAAGGGGATGTTTTCTTCCCAAGCTACCCCACACATCTAATTGGCTCTACTCCTCAAGACAATAATTAGAACAGACATGCAGCTATTACCGAATGGCATCATGCAGAAGAGTTAACGGTCAAATGCTACTGGATCGCTAACAACAACAACAACATACCTGACAACTTTCAATACGCCTTTTGGAAGGTATAGGTTCTTAAGAATGCCATTTGGATAAGCAGTGCCTCAGAGATTCTGCAAAAGAAAACTGTTAAAACTTTTGGAGACATAGAGAGAGTGCATTGTTTGGCTGATGAACTTTAATAGCAGCTAAAAACGATGAAGAACACGACAAGATCAGGCGCAAAGTGCTTAACAGAGCAAGAGAAAGCAATGTGTATTTCAATGCAGAAAAAATCACAACTTAGAAAATCAGAAGTGAAGTCCATGGGAAGAATCATTTCCAAGGATGGTATAAAACCAGACCCTGCAAAGGTCAAAGCCATAAGTGAAATGCCACTACCAGAAGATAAAACTGGAGTGAAAAGACTATTTGGGATGGTAAATTTCCTAAGCCCATTCATCCCAAATATACCATAACAAGCCCACTGAGATCACTGCTAAAGAAAGATGTGCCATGGCATTAGTACCATGAACACACAGAAGCAGTGAACAAACTAAGAGAAATATTGAGCCAAAATCCTGTACTGAAACTGTTTGACTCAAAGAAGCCAGTGACAATCCAGTGCAATTCTTCAACAAACGGACTAGGGGCATGCTTGCTCCAGGACAACCAACCAATAGCATATATTCATCAAGATCTTTGACTGAGACAGAAGCAAACTATGCAAACATTGAGCGTGAACTCCTAGCTATAGAGTTTGCTGCAGAACAATTCCACCAATTCATTTTTGGAAGAGAAGTACTGGTGATCAGTGATTATAAACCATTAGAGACGATCTTGAGAAAACCATTGCATCAAACTTTGTCAAGAATCCAACTGATGATCTTACGACTACTCTGATACAAACTGGATGTTCAGTACAAACCCAGATCTCAGCTATACATTGCTGACACATTGAGCAGAGCCTCACCACCATTAACACATCAAGAGAGACAGGAAATTCCCCAGGAGGAAATACTGAGAATACACTGTACGACAGCCACAATGCCTGCCACAACAGAGAAACTCAAAGAAATCCAAAAAGAAACCAAGTCTGGCAAGATACTGAGAATGTCTTATAATGGGTGAAAAATGACTCATGGCCTCAACAGAAGAACATCAATGACAGAAATAAGACACTACTACAAACTCAGACAAAACATCCATGAGGAAAATGGAATGTTATTCTTCAATAACAGAATGGTCATACCTGAAACCATGAGGGAAGAAATGTTAACCAAACTGTACACAAGTCACCTTGGCATTGATAAAAGTAAGGCCAGAGCCAGAGAGAGCATTTATTGGCCAAGAATATGTACTGACATTGAAGAAAAGACAAAAAAATGTGAAATATGCGCTAGCAATCAACCACAAAATGCTAAGGAACCCATGATTCCTCACGATTCACCATTTATCCCTTAAGTCAAAGTAGCAGCAGACATTTTTGAATTTGGTGGAAAATCATAGCTTCTTGTGGTGGATTATTATTCAAAGTATCTTGAAGTAGCATACATGAACAACAAAACAGCACAGTCATTGATCAAGGCCTTAAAATCAATTTTTGGAAGACATGAGATACCACAGGTACTCTTTGCTGACAACATGCCTTTCTCCAGCTACAAGATGAAGGAATTTGCAACAAGCTGGAACTTCAAAATCAAAAGATTAAGTCCGAGGTATACGTAGTCAAATGGCCAAGGTGAATGTTTCGTCAACATTTTCAAAACAATGTTCAGGAAATGTACAGAAGAAGGATCTGATCCTAACCTAGCTCTACTCGGATACAGAAACACTCCTATCACAGGTTTGCCGTACTCTCCAGCCCAGCTGCTCATGGCCAGAAAATTGAACGACCTGGTACCAACGAATTCCAAGATGTTAAAATCACAACTACCTGTTGATGCTCCAAACTTGCTTCAGCAAAGAAAAATAGAGCAGAAAAAACACTACGATCGACACACAAAGAGTCATCCAGAACACCACGAGGGGGACGGTGTGCGAGCGCACACATGAAGATCCAATAATAGGGAAAAGGGAGTTGTCACCGGTATGAACCAAGCACTACTTCACAACAGAAGATGGTACAACATGGCGACGAAACTCCAGAGTCATCAATAAAAGCAAACACACTCCTGTTATCAATGAACCGTCTAGCTTTGATGAAGACAAACACCAGTCAGAGCAACAACCTCAAGGGGCACAAACCAACAAGCAATTAACCAATGTTACTCTACATTGCATCTAAAGAACCCAACGAACACAACACATCCTGCCAATAAAGAAGTATTGAAGCAGTAACAGAGAAGCATGGTACCACAAAAATTCAGATGATCTGTTTAATAGTTGAGAGTTAACATTGGATTTGCTTGCTAACAGCCACATTTATCTGTGTGAAAGTGAAAGCACTCTGGTATTTGAAGGCAGTCATTATTAAATTAAATCGTGGAATGATTTCTGATGAAAAGTTGGACTGGATAAGAATCCAGCTATTCTTTCCTATATATTTGAATACCGGTACACTCAGTGTCTACTGAATAGACGAGCAGTGGCACAAAGCCAGCATTGGGTCAGTAGATGTGCCGACTTATAAAAGTTTAAACATAACAGAAGTTGCAATAAAGTTCTGAAGGATAGAGCAGATTTCAATGTTCAATATGAGGATAATCAGCAGTAAAAAAATCACATGTAAAATTTCTTTAAAGAATCGACATCAAGCAGTGAATAAAAATGAGGTATTTGTCTCTAACAAAGGAGACTGCAGCTGTAGAGCAGCAACTGTAAGTGATATTTCAGTGCTTTAAAAATATTAGTACTCCTTATCAAAACGCATTGCTTTTAAATAAATTTCCCCTTGACAATATTAATACCATGCAAAAGTTTACATTAACTCAAAAACATGAGTCAAAAACATGAGGTTAATCTTTGCTCACATCATTTTGCTATTGTGAGCCACAATTTGGCTTGGTGTAATACTAATACCTATACATTATCAAATCAAAGGAATAGAGTTAGACAAGCACAAAATAAAAACTTGCAAATTAGCATTAATGTAAGGGTGGCTTCCACATTTGATTGTGGCCAAAAGCCTCACCCAGCCCAAGTTCAGAAAACCCAAAACAAACTGTGACATGGTTAGAGCTTAACACCAGTGAATTACTACACCGCCATTACTTTCACTTTCACATAAAATTAAACATGTTCGCATTCACATTATTCACATTTCCACCACATGTCAAAGAACAAATAAACGTACCCCAAAAACAAGGTTGGCACTTTTATCAAAAACATAGAAAATATTCAACAGCTGGTGTAGGCAGGACTGGTCAGAATAAGACTCGACCTCAACACAAATACCCAGTGGCCCAGTTCTCCTTATCCTGATCCCACCACAACCATCAGGAAACATAGATAGAATGCTGTCACTGTCACACCAAAACAGGATTTGACACTTCTGATTGTAATATATATGCCACTCATATGACACCATAAGCTCTCATACTACACCAAACTCTCCGGCACAGGAGAAGCAGGTTTTCTCCTTGGTTATTTGAACTTTATCCTCTGTACAGCCTTCTTTTATCAATTTGTTCAATGTTAGTAAGAATTTTATGGCACTTCCAACACAAATATGTCAAAAGAGTGCCGAAGATAAAATGTACTACTACACAACAACATACAAAGAAAAGAAGGAGCGATAAAGACGGCGGATGTTTGATAGGAAAGTAGGACCAAACCATACCAGAACACCTGCCAAACATCCCTCTTATACAGAAATGTGTTCATCAAGTGTCTGGTTCAGCAAAGTGTAGACTTAGTACATTCAACAATCTGGGGCCCACATATATATACAATCTTTTTGAGCCTTGTAGGTTGCCAAAACTTAACAAAAGCAAACCATTCAATTCTCTCTCACAGATGTGTGAAATAATCATGCAATCACTGATATTGCACCTTACAATCGAAAAACCCACATCCTCTCCCCTGCACACACTAAACTGACTGACGTAAACACAAGTATATCAGGATTAAGTAGTACTTCTTTTTGGTCTTGTACCCTCTTCAAAAAGAAGGCTCACTTGGCTTCAAAGTAACTTACCTGACCACCTGTTTCACTTTTTCCCCTCATCTTAGTTCCAGACAGAATACTGCTGCATGGCAGCATGTTATGAACATGCCACTATCATTTACAAGTTTCACATCTACCAACTGTCAGGCTGGCTTAGCATTTTGAAAACCAGCAAACTGAGTACAATAAGGTAAAGTACCTTTCAAAAAAACATAATTTGATGTGAAAAGGATTGAGAATGTTAGCCATTTATTTACAAGTAGCACTTGCTACAAAGTGTAACAAAAATAATGCATCTGTGTTACTAGCAATGATAGAGCAAATCAGGAAAATATAATCATCACTGGGAATAAATAAATAAACAAGGAAAGCCAGCAAAGGTGTCTCTCTCATTGTGAACAGGTCTTCTCGACATATTCTAGAGAAAAGCAGAGAACGCTCCAAACATCTCGCTGCGTATGTGCTCCCCTGTCGCAGAATCGGTGTAGTCCAGGCTGTCAATGTTCCACATGCCGACCCCACGCAGACCTTTCTGTTTTGCCAGTTTGCACTTCAGTGACAGACTGTGTGGGTCATCAAACTGCACCTGGTATGTTGTGCCATAAATCTCATCCTGATGTTCCCAGTTCGGAGAGTGAGGAAGAAATCAAAAGAAAAAGTATACATTTATTGTAGCTCCAAATAGAGGGGAGTATTGAGGTACAAATATAAAAAGATAGAGTGCCTTCTTTATTTTTTCTCACAAAAGATAAAAAATAATTAAGTATCTCAGAAAGCATCCTACCTAGGCTTGACAGGAAAAGATATGAAAAGAAAACAGAACTAAAAGCCACTGATTCCCTCCC